CCAGGCCGAGCCAAGCCGAGCCAAGCCGAGCCAGGCCGAGCCAGGCCGAGCCAAGCCGAGCCAAGCCGAGCCAAGCCAAGCCAAGCCGAGCCAGGCCGAGCCAAGCCGAGCCAAGCCGAGCCAAGCCGAGCCAAGCCGAGCCAAGCCGAGCCAAGCCGAGCCAGAGCCAAGCCGAGCCAAGCCGAGTCTTCCGAGCTCGAGCCATGGAAGCCACGGAAGCCGCCAAACCGGCTAAGCCGCTGAGCCAGGCCCCGGGTTCACTCGGGTCCGATCACGAGTGGAGTGAACATGAGGACATCAAGCGTTCCGTAAGTGATTCTTAGCTGGTTCGGTCTCTCTTGTTTGTTCCAAGGCCAGAACGGGATCACTTGGTAGCATTTTAGGCACGAAGAGGTCCCAAGAAGCCCTAAAAATTATCGGCTGTCTCGCAGGCTAGGGCCCGAACATCGCGACAGCTCGAGCGACTTTGTGTACGCTTCGGCTGACTCACATCGCAACCCACGCGCGCAAAGTATTCTGCCGCCCGCTGAAAACTCGACAGGCCCGAAAGCATCTGCGCAAGCGTGGGCCAGCAAAAGCACAAGGTTGAAGCTCTGACCCAATTCTCAAGCCCTGATGACAACATCAAGGGAGTGTTATGGCATGTGCAGCATCGCCACACTCGTTTTTTAAGCCACACCCCGAATCCAACGGTCTGTGAATCCATCGGCGCATAGCACCGGCCTTGCTCTTCAAGGCCATCAGCGCCTTCTTGTACTCCTTGGGGAAGACCTGCCAGTCATGTCTCGCTTGCTTGAGTTGCTTGAGTTGCTTGAGGGCTCTGCTCAGAAAGCATTTCTGTTCCGATTCTCTAGGTTCCAGATAGTGGGTGCTTCCGAGATACGTGCCAGGTCGCCCTCCACACAAAAAGGGAAACGGACCACTGAGGCCGCAAACACGCGGTCAAGAAACATCGCCAGCCTTATCAGATACCAAATGGAAATGGGGCACCATCTGGACTGCAGTCAAAGAAGCGAGAATCGGAATTGCGCTCCTTGGAACGCACTAAGACAAGCAAACAAGCGAGCCAGCAAACACGCCAAATCCATAAACCAACACACCAACACGCCAGCAAGCCAACAAACCAAGCAACCAACAAACAAAAAATGACAACCAGGCGGATGAAGCAGGAGCGGCCCGAAGAAGCCAAACGAGTGCGGACTGTTTGGCTGAACAAGCTACATATTCCAAAGAATAATTTGGACAGCGCCTAGCTTCTGAATTATGAATCTGTCAAGCAGGATTTGTAAAGGTTGGTGTGCCCATGATAGGATCATGAATGGACTGAACATTCGCAAAGGGAAACAAGGCCGGAGACAGGCAAGTGTGGCTATCAGCCCTTTCCAAGTTGCTCTGACTTTGAATGCTTGTTCCCTGCCATTTCTTGGTCCCTCTCATTCCAAACCTTCCCTCCAGTGTCTGGGCTATGGATCCGAGCTTGAACACATGCCAAATGAGGGAAGCACCGGGTTTGTCTGTTTCTGGACTTGTGTGGTAGATCACCACGTTCCGTTTGGTGTCTCGAAATAGTTCAACAGGGACTTCGACTTTCTCATTTTCCCTTTAAGCCAAAAAGAGGGTGCTAGCTCCAAACCAGGAGCCAAGCTCGTTCCATGTTGAAGAAGCGGCCTCAAGAGGGTGCCCCTTGCGTTGGGCAGTCAGTCCCGGCGTCCCGTTCACCGTGAAACCAAGGTGGGCTGGAGCGAGTGTCGTTTTGGCTCGCGTTGAGAGCAAGTCACAATCTCCCAGCTTGGGGAGTTGTCAGCCCACTGCGTGAACTCACGACGTCATTCCTGTTGCAAATGGCGGTAGCTTCATTTTTTGTGTTTTTGTGTCTTTGAAAACACGACCCTCGCTGACATCGAAACTCGGATGTTCAATACTCATACCCCCCCTCCCGATCCGGAAAGCCCCTTTCGCCTTGGTGAATCGCTTCAAGGTCTCCGGCCATTTCTTGAGGAGCTCCTTGGCCACCTCGGAAAGCACAAGAATCGATTGGAAGCGGTTCCTTGTGTGCACAAAGCCTTGTGACTCGTTTGAGACACTCCTAATGGGCCCTTAAATTTTAGGAATATCCTACATGGGATCCATGGATATGAGGGCTCAACTTCAGAAAGGGAGTACCCTTTGGGCAACCGTGTAGCGTAAGCCATATACCAAAGGAGTTACTATACCTATTTGCCATCCCCCCCGCATTGTTTCACTACTTGTTCACTTTCATACTTTCTTACTTTTCTGTTTTTGGGTCAGTGTCTGTTTTTACGGGGCACCATTTGTAAGTTGTGCTGTTGCCTTCAACTGGGGGAATGGCTTCCATGGGCTTGCCAGTAATTTGGGACCAGGGGCACACTCTGGGGCGACATTGGCTCCTAACTTCTGGGAAGGAACGATCTTCTCCCTCGCGACCATAGATTTGCTCACTGTCCAGCTCCAGGCATCCATTCTCACTTACGTGCCAAGCTGAAACGCCCTGGCCTGGGCACCAGAAATCTGAGCAACGCAACTGAACAAATCTCGTGAAAACTGTCAGAATCAACCATCGAAGGAAACGACCACCACGACCACCACGGGCCGGGCTTCTTTTGAGGGGAACCCCCTTTTTGGGTTTCGAAAGGCAAACTCTGGGTTTGTCTCATTTGGGGTTGGTTTAGGAAATGAGATTTCAACTGAGCCCCTCACCAGGCTCCCTGTAAGCTGCTCGTGCTCCGTGATCAGGGCTTGGAGCTCCGTCTCGTCCTGAGAGTCTCTTGTACTCCGCTCGGGATCGCTTGGGCCCATAGGTCTTTTTTGTTGCAGAGATAGCCCCATTCGCATCGCGGGAACTTCGATTCACCCTTCCGGTGAGCAGACTCTGTGCTTTGTGATGCAACTGCGCAACCTTCGGGTTGGCAGGTGTTGGGCCGGTCTTTTTTGTTGCACCTGGGGATCGCATTCGCCGCATTGCGGGAACTTCGATCACAACCTTCGGGGCAAACCACTCCGACTCCGAAAACATCCGTGTCGCAGACTCTTTCTTTTTTTCTCTCCCAAGTCTCCCATGTCTCCCATGTCTCCCATGAGTCTCGGTGCTTGTCGGCCGCGTCCTCGTCGGTGATCTGCTCGAGATGCACCTGGGAGACGTTGCAAAGCGCCGGCTCCAGGTCCAGCACGAAGGCCACGCCCCCGCTCATGCCCGCAGCGAAGTTCGCACCCATGGCCCCCAGCACCACCACCGTGCCTCGAATTTCAACGAATGCAGAACTCGAAGTTATTGAGCTCTTTCAGCTATTTCGTTCAGTTTTTTTCAGTTCTTTCAGTTCTTTCGGTTCTTTCAGTTCTTTCAGTTCTTTCTTTCTTCCTCTAACTCTCTTTCTAATTCTCTCTATTTCTCTCTATGTCTCTTTCTCTGCTCCGTTCTGAATTTGTTCGAATTTCGAATACCTCTTCCGAGGAAAAACACAACACGAAAAGGAACTCACGTCAAGAGCTCTGGAACTGAAAGGATCCCCTCGCAACGACATCCAAACCGAGGCTGGAAGGATCTGGAAGGACAAAGATTGCAAAGGAGTTGAAGGACTAGGAGTTGAAGGCTAAGGTTCGATTCGAGCTAGAAGGCTTTGAGGCGTTGAACGCGCGAGGAAACAACCTGCAGAAAGAGGCTCCGCAAAGTTCAGACACATCTTGGAATGCAAACTTCCATCGGGGTCCTTCACCAATGCGATCACGAAACCGGTGCCCCACAGGTGCTCTTGAAAATTGAGCGTTCTGAAAGGACCTCTCTTTGGCTCCTGGTTTTGCTTGAGCTTCCCCGGAAATGTGGTAGTGTGCATATTTGCTCTTGGATAGGACAATCAAAAGGAATTTTCCGGGGTCCAATTTTTGCTTTGAGATAGGATTTCCAAAAGCGGCATGAGAGTCTGGAGCCAGGCAAAACTAAAGGCGCCAACTCGCCTCGTGCTTGAACCGTGGCCCAAACAGGAACAAGGTAGCTGTAGTTCCAATCACACGTCGCCAGCCACAAGAGGAAAACTAACTCATGGGCAACCGAATGGTGTGTGAAAACCATTAAACCAAACAGTAAATGAGGAACAACGGGGAATCCTGAACTGCGAGTCACACCTCTCCCGCGCGCCTCGAGTCATGTACTCGCACCCATGGTCGCCCACTCCCTCGCACACCGCCTGCGCCCCGGAGTTCCGGACCGCGAAGCGCTCCGCCGCGACCCCGGCGAAGAAGGCCTTCGATCCGACGATGGCCCATCGGTCAACTTGAAAGATACCGTCGGTACCGTCGATTTGACCGCCGAGCAAAGTCAACCTTCAAGGTCTCAAACCAGAAACTCCCTCGCCCTCCTCCCAGATTCTGCGATGCATTCCACTCCTCCCAAGCCACCTCGCCCCCAAAACAAACCATGTAAAGAAAACACATCCCCTGCATGGCAGGCGTTAATTGGGCCTATGTGTCGCCCAAGGCCCTGAACAATAGTTTCCCGGGTTCTCCCTGGGCCAGTTCCAGGATATTAAAATAAATAAATAAATAACTAAATCAAAAAAACAATGATTTTTATTTTATTTTTTAAATTTCTGGAGGCCTCCATTTTTTGATGTTTTTTTTTTTAAAATAGATAGTTTCCTGGGTTCTCCCTAGGCCAGTTCCAGGATATTTAAAAAATTGAAAAAATCAAATATGTCTTCTTCTTTTTTAAAACAAAAACTCAAATAATGTAAATATATATATATATAAATCAATTATTATTTGTTTTAAAAAAAAATCAAATAATTTAATTATGTTTTTTTTTTAAAATGATTTTTTTCTTAAATTTCTGGAGGCCTCCAAAAATTTTAAAAAATTAAAACATATAAATAGTTTCGTGGGTTCTCCCTGGGCTAGTTCCAGGACATTTAAAAACTTTAAAACAAATTCAAATAATGTAGAAAAAATCAAATAATTTAAATATTTATATTTTTTACTTCTTTTTTTTTAATTTCTGGAGGCCTCCAAAAATTTAAAAAAAATATACATAGTTTCCTGGTTCTCCCTGGGCCAGTTCCAGGATATTTAAAAAAAAATAATTTAAAAAAAATCAAATAATTTAAATATGTTTTTTTTCAATTTCTGGAGGCCAGCAAAAATTTGAAAAAATAAAAAATATAAATAGTTTCCTGGGTTCTCCCTGGACCAGTTCCAGGATATTTAAAAAAAAACAAATAATTTAAAAAAAAAATAATTTAAATGTTTATACTTTTTTAATTTTTTTAAATTTCTGGAGGCCTCCAAAAATTTAGAATTAAAAAATTCAAATATTTTAAACAATTCAAATAATTCAAAGATTTTTAAACAATATAAATATTCAGATTTTTTGAAGTTTTCAAATTAATTGAATTTTTCAAATTTTTCAAATATCCTGGAACTCGCCCAGGGAGAGCCCAGGAAACTATTTATATTTTTCATTTTTTTAAATTTTTGGAGGCCTCCAGAAATTTAAAAAAAATTAAAAAATACAAATATTTGAATTAATTGAATTTTGTAAATTAATTGAATTTTTTAATTTTGTTAAATATCCTGGAACTGGCCCAGGGAGACCCCAGGAAACTATGTATATTTTTATTTTTATTTTTAAATTTTTGGAGGCCTCCAGAAATTTTAAAAAATAACATAAAAATATAAATATTATAATTAGCTGAATTCTTTAAATTAATTGAATGTTTTAATTTTTTTAATTTTTGGAGGCCTCCAGAAATTTAAAACTTTTTTAAAAGAATATAAATATTTAAATTGTTTGATTTTTTTTAAATTAATTGAATTTTGATTTTTTTAAATATCCTGGAACTGGCCCAGGGAGAACCCAGGAAACTATTTATATTTTAAATTTTTAAACAATTTGGAGGCCTCCAGAAATTTAAACAAAATTGAAAATAGAAATATTTAAATTAATTGATTTTTTTAAATATTTGATTTTTTTAATTTTGTTAAATATCCTGGAACTGGCCCAGAGAGAACCCGGGAAACTATTTATATTTTTTAACTTGAAATTTTTGGAGGCCTCCAGAAATTTAAAAAAAAATATAAATATTTCAATGACTTGAATTATTTATTTTTTTGTTTTTTTTGATGTTTTTACATATCCCGGAACTGGCCCAGAGAGAACCCGGGAAACTATTCTTCATTTTTTTGGAGGCCTCCAGAAATTAAAAGAATATATATTAAATGTAAAGACTTATTATCTTTTTAATTATTCAAATTATGCATGTTTTTCAACTTTTTCCAATATCCTGGAACTGGCCCAGGGAGAACCCGGGATATTACTCAAAAAAATGGAGGCCTCCAGAAAGTTAAGAATTTTTAATAAATGAATGTTTATTGTTTTGCTTGTTATTTGTTCAAACTTGCTGAATATCCGGGAACTGGCCAGGGAAAACTTTTTTTAGACGCCTCTACAAATTTAAGAACAAATAACTACAAAAACATATATTTTTTAAATATCCGGGAACTGGCCAGGGAGAACCCTGGAATTTAATTATTGTTTTTGTACAAAAAATGGAGGCCTCCAGAAATTTAAAAATTAGAAGATAAGTAATTTTAGATTATTTGACATGTTTAAAACATTTTTTAAATATCCTGGAACTGGCCCAGGGAGAACCCTGTATTCTTTGTTGGTTTTTGGAGGCCTCCAGAAATCAAAAAAAACTTAAATTACCTGATTTTGTAGGTTGTTTAAACAGAATGGAACTGGCCCAGGGAGAACCCTAGAAATGATTCAATTTTCATATTTTAAAACAGATGCCTCCAGAATTTGAACAAAAACATTTTTATCTTCTTTGAGTATTCCGCACGGGCCCAGGGAGGGCCCAGGATATGTCTTTTTCAGGGCTCCAACAAATTGAATAGCACACGTAGTCAAATTCGTAGAACTATCTAAATAACTTAAACGTTTTTGTTCCGAGCCTCCAACAAATAATGCGCTAAGAAACACATTTGTACATTCCATTATTTCGAATTGTTTGAATTCGAGACACCCAGATTCTTTAAATATTCTACAATGGGCCCAGGAAGGGCCCTGGACATAACTTGGATTATTTGAACAGATATGTTGTTCAGGACCTCCAACATTTTGATCAAAATAAGCAGTTTGCATTTTGGAATTATTTGAACTTTTTCATTAGGAAAATTATATTTTCGGAACTAGCCCAGGGGGTGGGGGTGCCCTTGAAATTGTTTAAATTGTGTGAAATATCTAAATACTTAGTTACCCAAACATGTTCATTTGTTCTAACTATTTAGGACGTTGGACACAAATGAATCTGGAGTTCTCCAAAAGGCTCCCGTCCCTTTGAACATATTCGAGTAGAAAGCATGTTGTTTTATAAGACATATTCTAAGTAGACTAGTTGTTCAAATCATGTTGGTTAATAATAGTTAGACAAAATAAGGTGCTGTTTTCCAAATATTGGCACGATTCTCAAAGATTCGTGTAATTAGGCTAATTAGACCCACGTTGAGAAATAGAATAAGTACCAAGCGATTGACCTTTAACTCCCCAGAAAACACCCGTCCCTGTGAGAATAATTAGAATACTTAGCATGATTATGAACCATGAGAATCATTGGATTAGATAATAGATCTGGAATTCCTGAAAGGGGCCCATCCCGTTGGGAACCATTGGACTAAATCAATTCATTATGATAAGTACAATCATTAGCAAGAATATGGATCTGGAATTCTCCCCCCCCTGGAAGTAATTGTTTGGAAAACATGAATGTGGAACTCTGGACCTCCCCAAAAGCACCCTACCCGTTGGGAATGAGAATGATACATAGAGCAATTATCAGAAGGTGCAAAGCTATGAACCTGGAATTCCCCAAACGGCACCCGCCCCTCTTGGAATAAGTAGAAGCAAAAATAGCAATGATAAGTAGGCTAATTTGCAAAACATTAATCTTCAACTCCACAAAGGCACCCGTCCCTTTGGGAACGACGTCCCTGTGGGAAGAATGATTATAACAAGTTGATAAGTAGCGCTAGACTAGAAAATGAATCTGGAATTCCTCAAAAGGGACCCGTCCCGTTGGGCAGAATTGAAATAATCCGGGTACTTCCAAAAACAGAAAATATCTGAAGTAGAAGGATTAGAGATACTATGAGTCTGAAATTCCCAATTTGAGGAATGAAGAAATTGAAAAACAAGAATCTGGAACTCCCCACAAGCACCTGTCCCTTTGGGAATGACAATAATAAATAGAGCAGTTATCAGAAGTAGAATCACTAAAAACATTGAAAAACAAACATGATTCTGGAACTCAACAAAAGGCACCTGCCCCTCTCGGAATAAGAATAATCCTTATAATAGCTACGATGAGTAGACAACATTTCCCAAACATGAATTTTCAATTTCCCAAGGGCACCCGTCCCTGTGGGAGTAATTAGAAAATTAGAGCAGTTAGAATAACCAGAATAATTGAACACACATGAACCTTCCCAGAAGGCACTTGTTCCTTTGAGAAGACTGATCATAAGAAGTAGAAGGGACCCGCCCCGTTGGCAATAATTGGAAACGCGGGTAGTAATCCGAATTTCCCCAAATGTCCGCAAATTTGGGAATGACCAGTTGCAAAAACAAGAGCCTGGAATTCCCGTCCCTTTGGGAATGAGAATGATCAGAACAAGAAGCAGAATCAAAAGAAAAAAGCAATGAACCGGAATCCCCCCAAAGGCGCCCGCCTCTCTTGGAATAAGGAGAAAATCATGGCGATGATAAGTAGGCTAATATGCAAAACATGAATCTTCAATTCCCCAAAGGCCCGCCCCCTTGGGAATAATAAGAAACAACAGAACATGTAGAATAACTAGAAAGATTAGAACAAACGTGAATCTGGAGATTCCCTAAAGCACCCGTCCCTTTGGGAGAATGATTATAATAAGTGAATGAGTAGATTGAATCTGGAATTCCTCAAAAGGGACCCGTCCCGTTGGGCAGAATTGAAATAATCCGGGTACTTCCAAAAACAGAAAATATCTGAAGTAGAAGGATTAGAGATACTATGAGTCTGAAATTCCCCAATTTGAGGAATGAAGAAATTGAAAAACAAGAATCTGGAATTCCCCACAGGCACCTGTCCCTTTGGGAATGCCAAGAATAAATAGCGCAGTTATCAGAACTAGAATCATTAAAAACATTGAAAAAACAAACATGATTCTGGAGCTCAACAAAAGGCACCTGTCCCTCTGGGAATAAGAATAATCATTATAATAGCTACGATGAGTAGACAACATGTCCCAAGCATGAATGTTCAATTTTTCAAGGGCACCCGTCCCTGTGGGAGTAATTAGAAAATTAGAGCAGTTAGAACAACTAGAATAATCGAACACACATGAACCTGGAGATTCCCAGAAGGCACCTGTCCCTTTGAGAAGACTGATCATAAGAAGTAGAATAGTGTAGCAAACAATGAATCTGGAACTCCTCAAAAGTGCCGCCCCGTTGGCGATACTTGGAAAATGCGGGTAGTTCCAAAACACCTGAAGTTGAATAAGAGAGAGACCATGAATCAGAATTTCCCCCAAATTTGGGAATGACCAGTTGCAAAAACAAGAGCCTGGAATTCCCGTCTTTTTGGGAATGAGAATAATCATGAGAAAATATATCAGAAGTAGAATCAACAGAAAAAAAAGCAATGAACCGGAATCCCCCCAACATGAATCTTCAATTCCTCAAAGGCACCCGCCCCCTTGGGAATAATAAGAAACAACATAACATTTAGAATAACTAGAAAGATTAGAACAAACATGAATCTGGAGATTCCCTAAAGGCACCCGTCCCTTTGGGAAGAATGATTATAATAAGTTCATGAGTAGATGTGCTAGACTAGAAAATGAATCTGGAATTCCTCAAAAGGGACCCGTCCCGTTGGGAATAATTGGAATAATTTGGGCACGCCCAAGAACAGAACATATTGTACGTAGAGTAGTTAGAGAAACAATGAATCTGAAAGTTCCCCAATTTGGAGAATAAAGAATTGGAAAAAGCAAGAATCTGGAATTCCTCGCAAGCACCCCCCCCCTTTGGGAATGACAAGAATAATGGGAAGACGTACAAGGCACCCACCTCTTGTGTAGTAATTGTTGTACCTAGAACAACAAAGGTGCCCGTCCCTTGTAAATAATAATGATAGTAGTATTTTACAAGACTGATGATAAGTAGACTAATCAGCGAACGTGAATCTTGAACTCACTAAACGGCACCTTCCTGTTTGGGACCAAATAGAAAATAGGGAAATAATCTAGAACTTACTAAATGGGAGCTGCTCATTTGGGAATGACTCGAATAGTTTGAACAATGCGGGAACCACGAATCTCGCCACCAACAGGCCCCATCCCTTTTGACACAATTATCCTACCCAGGGCAAACACGAGCTTGGAATTCCATAAGACGCACCCCAGCTCCCTAGGGATTCAATTAGAATAATATAGAATGATTATGATAAGTAGAATACTTAGCAATCAGGGCTCTTGAACTCCCCAAAAGTCACCCGTCCCTTTGGGAATAATGATGAGAATTAGAAGAGTTATGATAAGTAGAATAGTTAGAAAACATGAATCTGGAATTCATCAAAAGGCACCCCACTTTTTGGAAGAAGTAGAATACTTAGATTAGTTCAAATAATTAGCACAAACATACATCTGGAGTTCCCCCAAAGGCACCCGCCCCTTTCGCAATAAGTATATAAATGAGAATAATTGTAATTTTGTGGGGAAGCATACCCAAAAATTAAGACAGTAGGACAAAGATGGGTTTGGAATTCTCCAACAGCAGCCCGTCCCTCTGGGAAGAATTATAATAATTAGAACAAGTAATATAGTTATGATAAGTAGAATAGCTGGCGAACATGGATCTTGAATTCCACAAGACGCACCCGCCCCTTTGGGAATGATTAGAATGAGAATAAGTTGATTAGTTAGAATACTATAGTTGAAACACACATGAATCTGGAATTGGGATTTCCGAAAAGGCACCAGTCACCCGTTCCTTGGGACTAGCTAGAACAAAGGAACTAATTAGGGGCGGATTCCCCACAAGGGGCCCCGTGCCGTTGGGAATGCGTGCTACAACCAGAATAATCAGAACAGAATGACCTGGAAACCACACTGGACTTCACCAAATGGCTTGAAAACAACGAGAATCCTTAGATTTGCTTAAGTTGTTAGAATGAGTAAAAGAATTAGATCAACCATGAATGTTGATTTCCCCAAAAGGTACCCTCCTGTGGGAATACATCAGAGAGTGATGATTGCTATGAGAAGTAGACTAACTCGAACACATTTGACCCAAAATGCACCCGCCCCTTTGCGAATAAATATACAATCACGTAGAATGATTCGAAAACACGTGAATCTGGAATTCGCCAAAGGGCACCCGTCCCTTGGTGAAAAATATGTAATAATCAGAATAGCTGTAAGAATTAGGACAATGCACCTGGAATTCCCCAGAGCGCGCCCGTCCCTTGGGTAATAAATAGAACAAGTATAAATTTCAATAAGCTAGAAGAAATTGTTTCGGAATTCCCCAACAGTCCCCTGCCCCTTTGGGAGTTTCTAGAATGATTCGAAAATTAAAAAGAAAAAGGGCGTTTTGTTTGTGTTAGTGTACTTGGTGTGTGTGTGTATTGCTTGACACTCTGTTTGAGTGCCCTTTGTGCTCTCAGTTTCTCTCTCTCTCTCTCTCTGCTTGTGTTTGCGTGCGTGCGTGCGTGCGTGCGTGCTTGCGCTCGTGCGTGCGTGCGTGCGTGCGTGCGCGCGCGTGTGTGTGTGTGTGTGTAGGTGTATCATGAGTGAGGGAAACATCCCCCCCGCGCGTGCCACTTTGGGGGAAACAATCATCCCGCGCGCGCACGCCACATAGGACCTAATCTTCCCTGCCACATACCCCCCCTCTCCTTCGGGTCCGGGTGGTTTGGCAGCACAGCATTCTAGAGCAATTGTGAGTGCCTCAGCATGAGGCCTCCAGTGTTTTCAAGCTCGGGCATCCAGCTTGCTCGCATTCAAGCAATCAGCAAAAAAACAGGGTGCCAGTGAATGCTGAGTTTCCTCTCGTCATTGGGGAGTCACTCTTCTCCAAACAAGAACACGGAACCCCACCACACAATCAACTCAACGCACCCAAAACCCTTGATGAAGGTCCGGAAGGAACCTTCAAGAGCATGCCGCCACTCCGCACTGCATTGTTCCTTCCGCGCCCCAAACAACGGTCTCATCCCTGGGCCTTGCCAGATGTGGCGCCGTAGAGCGCTGCATTGCCCGCGATGATGCTGTCCTGGGAGGCGTAGGTCGCCTCGGAATAAGCGCAGTCGTTCGGAGTCCCCGCCAGTGCCGGCGCTTGCGAAGGAGAAGATCAAGGACAGCGAGCAGCAATGCTTGGAGAAATTGCATAAGCGTGTGGAAAATGGAAGTCTGGCATTGCAAAGACATTTTCGTTTCCAAGCCTGCTTGGGCTTGTAGACAATGATGGTGCCTCCGCTCAGCCCCTTTCCAATGTAGTCGTTTGCGTCTCCCTCAAGCTGGAAAGTGATGCCTGGCGCACATTGACATGCACGGCATCCATCCGGTGAAGGCTCCAACTAACCCCGCTTGCAAGCCAACCCACTCAATACGCAACCCGCCCAGCCCGCCCAGCCCACCTGGCGCCAGGAAGTTCCCAAACGACTGGCCGCTACTGCCCAGAAAGCCAACCTGCAACGTACCCTCCGGCAGGCCCTTGGCGCCGTACTTCTTACTCACCTCGCGAGGCCCGAGGATCCATGTCCGTCGTGTGCTGAATTTTGTCCGTTGCGTGGTGTGTGTGTGTGTGCTTGTTGCGCGTTGTATGTTGCGTGTTGTCTGTTGCGCGTTGTCTGTTGCGTGCTGAGCTTTGTGTGATGTGTGTTGTGTGCGTGTGTGTGTGTGTGTGTTGCGTGTTGTCTGTTGCGCGTTGTCTGTTGCGTGCTGAGCTTTGTGTGATGTGTGTTGTGTGCGTGTGTGTGTGTGTTGCGTGTTGTCTGTTGCGCGTTGTCTGTTGCGTGCTGAGCTTTGTGTGATGTGTGTTGTGTGCGTGTGTGTGTGTTGCGTGTTGTCTGTTGCGCGTTGTCTGTTGCGTGCTGAGCTTGTGTGCGTGTGTGTGTGTGTGTTGCGTGTTGTCTGTTGCGCGTTGTCTGTTGCGTGCTGAGCTTTGTGTGATGAGTGTTGTGTGTGTGTTGCGTGTTGTCTGTTGCGCGTTGTCTGTTGTGTGCTGAGCTTTGTGTGATGTGTGTTGTGTGCGTGTGTGTGTGTTGCGTGTTGTCTGTTGCACGTTGTCTGTTGCGTGCTGAGCTTTGTGTGATGTGTGTTGTGTGCGTGTGTGTGTGTGTTGCGTGTTGTCTGTTGCACGTTGTCTGTTGCGTGCTGAGCTTTGTGTGATGTGTGTTGTGTGCATGTGTGTGTTGCGTGTTGTCTGTTGCGTGTTGTCTGTTGCGTGCTGAGCTTTGTGTGATGCGTGTTGTGTGCGTGTGTGTGTGTGTGTGTGTTGCGTGTTGTCTGTTACGCGTTGTCTGTTGCGCGCTGAGCTTTGTGTGATGTGTGTTGTGTGCGTGTGTGTGTGTGTTGCGTGTTGTCTGGTGCGCGTTGTCTGTTGCGTGCTGAGCTTTGTGTGATGTGTGTTGTGTGCGGGTGTGTGTGTGTGTTGTGTGTTGTCTGTTGCGCGTTGTCTGTTGCGTGCTCAGCTTTGTGTGATGTGTGTTGTGTGCGTGTGTGTGTGTGTGTGTGTTGCGCGTTGTCTGTTGTGTGTTGAGCTTTGCATAATGTGTGTTGCATGTTGAGTTTGATTGTTGCGCGGTGTCTGTCTGTTGTGTGTTGAACTTTGTATGTTGTGTGTTGTGTGTGTGTGTTGCGTCTTGTCCGTCGCGCATTGTCTGTTTCGCGGTGAACTTTGTATGTGATGTGTTGCGTGTGTGTGTGTGTTTACTTTTTTTGCGCGTTGTCTGTCGTGTGTTGAACTTTGTCTTTTGTGTGTTGCGTGTGTGTGTGTGTGTGTGTGTTGCGTGTTGTCTGTTGCGCGTTGCCTGTTGCGCGCTGAACTTTGTATGTGACGCGTTGTGGGTTGATTTTGCTTGTTGCGCGTTGTCTGTCGTGCGTTGAGCTTTGTAGGTTGTGTGTTGTGTGTGTGTGTGTTGCGTGTTGTCTGTTGCGCGTTGTCTGTTGTGTGATGAACTTAGTATGTGATGTGTTGCGTGTTGATTTTGCTTGTTGCGCGTTGTCTGTCTGTCGCGCGTTGAACTTTGTATGTTGTGTGTTGTGTGTTTGTGTTGCGTCTTGTCTGTTGCGCGTTGTCTGTTGCGCGTTGAACTTTGTATGTGTTGCGTTGCGTGCGCGTGTGCGCATAATTGTTCTTTTTGCGCGTTGTCTGTCGTTTGTTGAACTTTGTTTTTCCCCAACAGCCGAAAGCTTTGGGGTCTCAGCCCAGATAGGGTCCGGGGTGGTCCGGGGCGGCCCTGAGGTAAGGTTCCACGAGGGTTCCACGAGGGTTCCACGAGGGTTCCACCAGAGTTCCACCAGGGTCTGCAAGGGCTGCGGGCTGGTCCGGGGTGGTTTGAGGTAAGGTTCTACGAGGGTTCCACCAGGCTTCCACCATGTTCCGCGAGGGCAGCGGGGTGGTCCGGGGTGGTTTGAGGCAAGGTTCGAGGGTTCACCAAAATTCCACCAGGTTCTGCGAGGGCTGCGGGGTGGTCCGGGGTGGTTTGAGATAAAGTTCCACGATGGTTCCACCAGGGTTCCACCAGATTCTGCGAGGGCTCTGGGGGGTCCGGGGTGGTTTGAGGTCAGGTTCCACGAAGGTTCCACCAGGGTTCCACGGCTGCGGGGTGGTCCGGGGTGGTTTGAGGTAAGGTTCCACCAGGCTTCCACCAGGTTCTGCAAGGGCTGCGGGGTGGTCCGGGGTGGTTTAGGTTCCACCGGGGTGGTTTGAGGTGAGGTAAGGTTCCACAACAGTTCTCCACCAGGGTTCCACCAGGGTTCCACCAGGTTCTGCGAGGGGCGGGTGGTCCGGGGTGGTTTGAGAAGGTTCCACAAAAGCTCCGCCAAAGTTCGACCAGGGTTCCACCATTGCTGCACCAGGTTCTGCAAGGGCTGCGGAGTGGTCAAGGTTCTGCGAGGGGTGTGGGATGGTCCGGGGCGAGGTAAGGTTTCAAAGGGTTCCACAGAGTTCCGCGAGGATTCCACAAAATTTCCACAAGGCTCCAAAAGGTCCCACAAAGGTTCCGCAAGGTTCCATGGTTGGCCCTAAAGAAAAACAATGTGTCGTGCGCCCGTCGTCTGCTCAGAAGATCGCCTTGCTCATGGGCGGAACACTTAAACGCTCCACAAGGTTTCCACCAGGTTCTGCAAAAGCTATGGGGCAGCCCTGAGGAAAGGTTCATCGGGCCCGATTGCGCCGTCGGGCCCCGAGCCGCGTCAACTGTACCAAGCTGGCATGGCCTAGTTTTTGCTGGATACAAAAAACCGGCGTTGAGCTATAATATGTGGCTGGGGTTGATGGGAGCCCGCTTGCACCACGGGAGCATCGGCCCCCCGGTCGGGCCCGATTGCGCCGTCGGGCCCCGATCGGGCCCCGATTGGGCCCCGATTGCGCCGTCGGGCCCCGATCAGGGCGCGATTGCGCTGTCACTCTTAGCTTTGCTTTACAAAGTTACAACGCGGCATCCTCAGCAAAACCGGTCGCGGGGCGTTCCGCGAGGAGGATTCTGGGAGGGTGTGGTGCTGTTGGGGGTATCGCCTGAGCTTATTTTTTTATGTGTTGTGTGTGTGTGTGTTGCGTGTTGTCTGTTGTCCGCTGAACTTTGTGTGTGTGATGTGTTGTGCGTTGATTTTGCTTGTTGCGCGTTGTCTGTCGCGCGTTGAGCTTTGTAAGTTGTGCGTTGTGTGTGTGTGTTGCGTGTTGTCTGTTGCGCGTTGTCTGTTGTGTGATGAACTTTGTATGTGATGCGTTGCGTGTTGAATTTGCTTGTTGCGCGTTGTCTGTCTGTCGCGCGTTGAACTTTGTACGTTGTGTGTGTGTGTTGCGTCTTGTCTGTTGCGCGTTGTCTGTTGCGCGTTGAACTTTGTATGTGTTGTGTTGTGTGTGCGTGTGCGCTTAATTTTTATTTTTGCGCGTTGTCTGTCGTTTGTTGAACTTTGTTTTTTAGGTGTTGTGTGTGTGTTGCGTGTTGTCTGTTGTCCGCTGAACTTTGTGTGTGATGTGTTGTGCGTTGATTTTGCTTGTTGCGCGTTGTCTGTCGCGCGTTGAGCTTTGTAGGTTGTGCGTTGTGTGTGTGTGTGTTGCGTGTTGTCTGTTGCGCGTTGTCTGTTGTGTGATGAACTTTGTATGTGATGCGTTGCGTGTTGATTTTGCTTGTTGCGCGTTGTCTGTCTATTGCGCGTTGCGCGTTGTCTGTTGTGTGTTGAACTTTGTGGGTTGTGTGTGTTGCGCGTGTTGTGTGTTGTGTGTGTGTGCGACGCAATATGTTGGCTCAATCGCCATGTCTTGCCGCGCTTTTGCAAGCGTCGGCTTTTGCCATCAATCACTAAAAAACAAGTTGGGGGAGAAGTTGGGCATCCTTCGAACAGAACACAAAAACAATGGTAAACAGCAATACAAAAGACACCTACCTCAACGTTGTCTCTGCAGGAGTGGTAGCACAGGAGCTTGAAAAGGTGGCAACATGCTTGTCCAAAAGTGTCAACTTCAGCGTTGCCGAACGAGCCGTTTGGCAACGCTCGCATGGCAGGCGTGGCACATCGCGCAGATGAATTCTCACTCTTTTTGTACCTTCATGGACAGCTCAGCCAGCTCAAGTCATTCAAAACTTGCTGAGGCGCGCAAGTGTCTTGCATGGATTTTCTGAAGCACACAACTGCCTTCAACACATTCATCAGGCCAGGTTTCTGACCGACGAACAAAGAAGACAAAAGATCCACGTGTTCTGTGGCTCCTTTTGACTTGCTTCTGCCTAACTTGTTAGACCGTCTCATCTGGCGTTTTATTTGCCCAGCCAAGGATTCACATCGCTGGTCACCGCCCACAAGCAAGACACCCGAGCCTTTCCGTTTGGAGGCCACCCAAGTCACGGAATGGGCCTGGAGGCCACCCAAGTCACTTAAATTCCGTAAAGCTCCTTAGAAGTCTACACTCGAGAACCCCCCCTCAAACACCAAAACATGTCAAAGTAAACCGGCTTTTCGGAGCCCAGGGACATGTTGAAATCTGCGTGACCTCGCCAGCTTTCTTCCTCTGGGCCAGTTAGCTGAGGCACTGCCATGGCTGCATGCTCACGCAAGTGGAGCACTCGACGGGGCAGCACAAATGCAGCAGCACAGACGTGCAGCGGAGCAGGACCTTGAAGAGAAGAAAGGTAAGTGAGCCAAGCGTTGAGGAGGCAAGGTAAACTCGTGGCCAGTAGATCAAAATCAAGAGGGGCCCGACAAGACAAGGAGGAGGTGGAACGAACAAAACCAGTCACAGGGTCCGTGTCAGACAGAGCAAGCACGTCAATGTGGGAGTCCAAGTAAAAGGGGTCAGCTAGCCAAGCAACACGAAGCAGTGAGCACGAGTGCCCAGCAAGCCTCAGCAAAAGCACAAGAGAAAGAGCAAAAGCAGCGCAGGAAGAGGTATCCATGCCGCTGAGCAGTTACGGCAGCGGTGCCCGTGGGTGTTGTCGCTACCATCCCCACGCCCCCCCCATTTCTCCTTCTTCAGGGTGCGGCAGGACAGGGCGATTGAACCAATATGTTGGTGAGACGGGGAGGGAGGTTTGTGTGGGGTTTTCGCAGTTGGTCGTTGCACGCTCCACCACGAGAGCTTCCAGTCTAGGTCTCCAAGGCGCCATGCTGTGTCCTGCGGTGGCTACATCATGTTGGACTCCCCCATGTCTGTTCGGTCTTCCAACGCTTCTGTGACGGGATCGAATCTTGCCTTCGTAGTGAATTATCAAAGAATGTTCTTTCTCGTTTTGGGCAGAGCGTGCGCAAAATGTGTATAACCTTTATCTGGCGCGCGCTGGCTACGAAGGCCCCGTGTAGCTGAGCAGGTGCGCGACGCACGGGTCGCATGGGGCGGCTCCTTGGAATCACCGAGCGTGGCAGCTCAGATTGCTCACGAGCTGGGGGTTAGAGCCTTTGGGATTTCAATGGTAAGTTTTAGTTGCAAGCATCATGCAATTTGGGGGTCCCATTGCAGCGTTGCAATCCGCAGGCACTTTGATTAGCCTTTTGTAGGCACGTGTCATTGCGAGCAAGGGTGGGTGGGGCATGACGAAACCACGCATGATGAAACCATGCATGCTGAAGCCACATGATGAAATCAAACATGCAAGCAAGCAGCAGGCATGCATGGACATGTGGTTTCCTGCGTGCGCTGTCGTCATCCTTGACTGCGCAAGCTTGCGCAGGACGCGGATCATATCGGGGTTCCTACTAGGAGCTTTGGCGTAGTCTTGCATCTCGGCGTGTTTACATGTGTGTGTCTCCATGATGGCCCTATATGCTGCCGTAAAGCTACACTGGGCAGGGCCAATGTGCAGCAGCTGGGGCACGCACGCAAGATCTACAACGCTGCGCTCATAACTTACCTGCAAGTGGCGCGGAGGCTGGTCAGCGTGCCTGCTGCGCAAGCGCAGTCCCAGATGTTCTCGCGCTTGGGCCTGGTGTGCGAGGTAGCGTCCAAAAGCAGGCGGGATCTCAAGGTGCCACACAGGCCCTCGCCGCATCCGACGCACTGTGGCCATCATGCCGTTGACAAACGAGTGCGGCTTGTCTAAGTTGCGGGTCAAAGACACTCGCGTCCCCGGAAAGATGGGTGTCCATGTTGGCGCCGCCTCAAGCTGCCGGGGCCATCGAAGTTTTGCCAGAAAAGGCGATTGGCGGAAATCCGCATGCGGCACCTCTGGCACGTCGTCCACACAGCGTGCCCGTTCTTTCCGGAGAGAGAGCCACGGCCCATCGGCATCGGTTCGTGAGTTCCGTTGCATGGAGGACCTTGGGCCCTCGGGTCTCGTGGATCCATCTTCTCTGTAGCCGTACTTTTCGGAGTCCGGAACCTTGCAGGAGGGCGCATGAGGCGATGTGTTGCCTTGCGCTGAGAGAGGCCGGTGTTCTTGAGCAGCATGGACTGCGTGGTCAAGCGTGCTGCTTTCGAGCTGCGGCGGGCGTTGCGGCTCCCCACACATGGGAGGCGGTGCTGCCAGCACTGGCCCGGTTCACAGGAGCTTGGCAACCTCCACCTGCCAGGTTTCAGTCGCCGCCATTTGCCAAGCACCAATGCACGAGTACAGGATGACTTCTTCGACGCGCTGCTCTTGCTGTCTGGTCCGGGCAATTGAGGTCCAGGCTGTGGGGCAGCTGTGCAGGCTGACAGATTGACAGATGAGCAGGTGCAGGAGCGCGTTAGTTCGTGAACTTCGCTGGATGTGCTGGACATACATTGCGACAGCGCCGAAGCCGTCAATTACATTAGGCCAGACATTGTGCAGCTTCAACTTTTCATGCAGGGCAATGAAGGGGCAGCAGAAGATGCCGGCACCGTGAAACTTCTCGTTGGAAAGAAGCTATGGCCCCTGGACTAGGTAGCCTTCCCGTCTCATGGACTGAAAGGAAGTGCGCCAAGTACCTCGACAAGCACGGCTTTTTTCGCAGGCGCTGCTTCAGTTGTTCTGACAACATTCAGCAGGTGGAAGGCGGCCCCGGTTTGCGGCGCACCAGGCTGAGCAGCTGGAAAATGAGTTACACGCCTTTTCAGAACAGTCTTTGCGGTGGTCAGAGTGTCAATCTGACTGCTTGGGTGCGAACAATGTATTTGGCGAGCGTCAAAGTTCCACAAGATTTTGCAACACATGTTGCGGGGCAGACTGCAGACTCCATTGACTCAGCACAAGACCGCGAGATTTGCTTGCAGCCTGGAGTGCCTTCCTTGCCTTTGAGACATGAAGGTTGCTGGTGACCTGTTCAAACACTGTAACTCTGTTGCCTTATGTGACATGTGTGTGCGCAGTGCAACTTCTACCCTCTCTCCTGGAATCGTTGAGTTCGGCGGGGTACGCGCGTCCGTGTCCAAGAAAGGCTTTGACCGAAGGACTTTCACGGCTGCTGCCAAGGCCAAAAGCAAAGCCAAGCACGTCATGAAACAACCTGCGGCAATCAAAAAGAAACCCTCCGTTGCCATTCATGGCGGAAGGTTCCTAATTGGCTGCCACCGCAGCAGAAAACAGCAGTTTTTGTTGCCACTGCCTGACAAAGTCCGCAAGCGCAACGCTCCAGAGCCGCCCGAATCCGCACAAGAAGTTGTTGGGTGGATCTCTGAAAAGTCCAGTCATATAGTAGGGTCAGATTGCGGGACTGGACTGCTCTGTTGCGTACAAAGCTGTGTGTTGCCGAGTTTCACGCCTCAGGCATTCAAGACAGCACGCACCCTTGACGTGCCCTAACCTTCTGTAATCAACCGGTCCTGCAGGGTGTCGGGTGCAGTAGAACGCCTTGCAGAATTGACATGTGACGCCCTTCATCCCTGCACACGCCACATCGGGGTCCGTCGCGGGAGCGAGTGGCCAAATAAGCCGTCAGTAAACGAAAAGCAGTTTTCACAGACACAGCTTTGAAGCCTTTGCAAACAACTCTGGCCGGAGATGAGACCAACCATCATCATCATACTTGCATTGAAGCAGACCTTTACAACCCGTGGTTTTCCTTCCCCCGCAGACGCTCCTCACGTGTTGCGCATGGATAACTCCGCGTGTCACCAAGTTGCTGTTTCACGGACTTGGCACACTGCCCAGTGGTACGCCAGTCCTGATCAACCTTTTAGAAAATCCGTGCTGGCGAGAGATTCTTTGCGACTTGGGCGACCAGCCCGGCCACCCTGTCAGACAAGAATTCGAATACGCCTTGAGCGCGGGTGATGGGCTGAACAACGTCGTCAATACCTGCCTTGTCACGCAAGGTGGCCGAAACTTTCAACTTCAGCTGCCGCCCTCTGGTTTAGCTCCGGCGTTCTGCCCCGAGTTTCTTGAGACATTTTCATGGCAGTTGATGCAGCCTTCATACATGTCGTGTTTGAATGAGAACATCTTTTTTAGCCGTGGTATGCTTCGGGACAACAGCGCGGGCTCCCCGATTAAGGGGCTCAGGCTGAGTGGGCTACTGTAGCATCCCTGAGTTCATCGGAACCTTGGGCCCATTAGGCTCATACCCGCTTGGGTTTGGAGCAAGGGATCACTACTGCCTTTGATTGCTTGATTCCTTCAAATAGACAAATCAAAGTATTTGCGTTTAGGGCCCCTGCCCAGTATCGATGCAACGTCACCTGATCGATTCACGTTCAACAGGCCGTTTGGAGAAACCGCCGCCAGTGGCATTATCACCGGATTCCCACACAGCCTGCCAATCTAGCCTGCCTATTTTCAATAGGTCAGCTGCAAGGATGGAACTTCAGGCGCGATAACGGGCTCACCACCACCCGAGAAGAAAGGTCTTCTGCGCAAGTATTACTGGACTGACAACGCGTCGGGGAAAATTGGTCCGACCACATGTCAGGAGGGTAAATTCGGCCGGCCAGTCGTGGCATCTGCCACGAGTCCTAATGGAAGCAGGGTTGGTAAAATCGGGAAGGCAAGCAGGCCCAAGCCTGTCTCCTCCAGTTCTAAGGGCAAAGCGGCGCAACAAATAACTAAAAGATCGCCCAGCTCAACACGTGAAGTACCCAAGCAGCAGCAAAGCGCAGCGCAAAGCAGACAGAGCAAGAAGGCAACAAGCAAAGCAAATAGAATGCCGGGGCCAAAGCCTTGAGCCAAGCACCGTGTTGGGTGAATGCGTACCTCTACACGCAAGAAGATTAAGAACAACATCATGCCTTGAAAAAAACATGTTCAGTAAAGCAGTCTTACAAGGACAGCCCTGGAACGGCATTAATGTTCTCTCAATGCCAAGTCACCCCACCGTCCCAAACTTTCATTTCGCGTGTTTTCCAGGCCTCAAAGCTCAGGATGCCACCCACGGAGCGGTCCACGTTGTTGACGGGCACCCCTTTCAGCCGCACCTGATACGGCCAACGTGTGAGTGAGCCTCGGGGCTCTCCCATGACTTCCCAGGTTTAC